AGTTACATAACATGTATTTATTGTCTCTTCTGTTCAGGTCAAAATGCTTTGATGATACCCTATTTATTCAGATTGTCTGCTTAGCATGCCCAGGATTGATGAAAGAAATCAAGTGGTGTCTAGCTGTACTGTCCAAGACACACCTGTTTTTTTTTCTCTAGATGAGGCCTTAACAGAAACGTTTGAAAAATTTAGTTGTATGTCAGAACTTAGCATTTTTCAAGAGGTTTTAGCATGGGTGAGTGGGGAATGATTTGTTTGCCCCCAAGTGGGAAGTCATCACACTTTTGGCTTAGTGTTGAGAACAGAGTACACATTCACAGCAGCAGCTGTTTGAAAATACTAGTTCATGATGGAGAAAAAAAAATTTTTTTTTGAGACAAAGTCTGGCTCTGTTGCCTGGGCTGGAGTGCCAGTGGCATGATCTCGGCTCACTGCAACCGCTGCTCCTGGGTTCACATGATTCTCCTGCCTCAGCCTCTCAAGAACCTGTAGTTCTAGCTACTCGGGAGTCTGAGGCATTAGAGTGGCTTGAACCTGGAAGGTAGAGGTTGCAGTAAGCTGAGTTCACGGCATTGCACTCTACCTGGGCGGCAGGGCAAGACTCTTGTTTCAAAAAAAAATTATATTTATACACACTGAATATCTGTAATAGTCTGTACTCCATTTTTGTTTTATCTTGTTTTCTTTTGGTACTATATTAATGATGGATTTTTAAATTGGGCATTTAAAAGTACGTGACTGTAGATAAAAAACATTAAAGGAAACAGGAATATCTAGGTGAAACATGGGGGCTAGAAAGTCAAGGCCAGAGGCTGTTGTATCTAACATTTTTGTTTATTTGTTCCTCTTTGGAGCTGGGAGAAAAGAGATGATTTATTGACTACCAAGTGTTTTGTTTGTTTGGTTTTGAGATGGAGTCTCACTCTGTCATCAGGCTGAAGTGCAGTGGCACGATCTTGGCTCACTGCAACTTCTGCCTCCCAGGTTCAAGCGATTCTCCTGCCTTAGCCTCCCGAGTATCTGGGACTACAGGCACACACCACCATGCCCAACTACTTTTTATATTTTTAGTAGAGATGAGGCTTCACCATGTTGGCCAGGATGGTCTCAATCTCTTGACCTTGTGATCTGCCCACCTTGGCCTCTCCAAGTACTGGGATTACAGGTGTGAGCCACCACACCCAGCCATTTGTTTGTTTTGTAAACATAAAGGTCATGAGTGAATTAATAGAGGGGCATGTCAGAAAATCAGAAGGCACCTCCACGTCTGTGTCTGAGGGTTGTTAAATCTGCCTCACTAGTGATGAAGAAGAATCTTTGAGACAGCATGCAAATTCCAAGTTGCTATGCATTAGTAAGATGCATACAACCTTCTAAAATGTAGGAATATAGTGGCACACCATTAAGCTATGGATAAATGCTTTGGTATAAATGGCACGTTGTAGTTCCAGTTTTTCTGGCACTAAGTTCCCAATAAACATTTATCATGCAAATAATTGAGAACAATTTCTCCTTTATTTCATACCTTATGCTTTCTAAGAATGATGAGTCACAAAATAAAGTCTGAAATTAGGAAATTCTCAAAAATAGAAAAGCCTTCAGAGAGAATTTTTTTTGAGACGGAGTCTCTTCCTGTTGCCCAGGCTGGAGTGCAATGGCAAGATCTCAGCTCACTGCAACCTCTGCCTCCCAGGTTGAAGCGATTCTCCTGCCTCAGCCTCCCAAATAACTGGGATTACAGGTGTGCACTAGCACACCCAGCTAATTTTTTGTATCTTCAGCAAAGACAGGATTTTACCATCTTGGCCAGGCTGTTCTTGAACTCCTGGCCTTGTGATGATCCTCCCACCTTGACCTCCAAAATTGCTGGAATTATAGGAGTACGCCACCACGCCCGGCCCAGAGAGAGTTTTCAAATGTTCAGAAGGGGTTGGTTTGACAGCTGAAGACTGGTTTTATTCCATTTTTGTTGTTTTTTCCTTTCTTCAAGCATATCTGTCTCTCAGTGGCGATAAATGTCATCTGTACATCCACACTTAAAATCCTCTTCTTTGGTGACTGGCGTAATAAGTGTTATTAATGGCAGACTTGAATGAGTTAAATGAAATGCCCAGATCTTAAGGTTCTAGTAAGATGCTATACACAGCGTAATTTTCTTAGTCTTAGAACTAAAAAAAAAAAAAAAAAAAGAAAGAAAGAAATACATTTGATTTTTCAGATGTAATTTACATGTCAGAAGGAGACCAGAATTGGGGTCTCTTTCTGCTGTTTAACCTTACACATGGCTCTTCATGTCTGTTTCTTCAAAGTGTGAAAAATAATGATAACTGATTCATAGAGCTGTTTTAAAGAATAAACAAAATACTACGAAAAATGCTTACCACTGTGTTCAGAGCATAATGCTTAAGACAGTGTTTAAAACAAACAAAAAAAATCCCTGCATTTAAGGGGTCTGTGTTTTCATCTTTTTCTTATCCTTGGGATATTTCAGTCTCCTCAGGTCCTCTGGAATAAGTGTGGGGTTAAGGCTGGCAAGTCCTCCTGCATTCAGTGTGGGCAGCCTCTAGAAGCTGATGCCTTCTATAAGACAGAATTGATTGGTTCCAAATAGCCCAAAAGAGTACCTACAGGCTGAGCATGGTGGCTCACACCTGTAATTCCAGTACTTTGGGAGGCCAAGGTGGGTGGATCACCTGAGGTCAGGAGTTCGAGACCAGCCTGGCTAACTAACATGTTGAATCCCTGTCTCTACTACAAATACAAAAACACAGGCATGGTGCTGGGTGCCTGTAATCCCAGCTACTCGGGAGCCTGAAGCAGGAGATTTGCTTGAACCTGGGAGGCAGAAGTTGCATTAAGCAGAGATCACACCACCGCACTCTAGTCTGAGCTGTGAGACTTGGTCTCAAAAAAAAAAAAAAAAAGAGTATGTACGTAAGATGAAATTGACAATGATTTTTCTCTTTATTTACTGCTTCATGTTTTTAACAGTGTCTCCCATGAGGAAATGATGAAGATGCGACAGGCTAATCTGGATTATCAGGTGAGCAGAGTCTCCACTTTTAAAATAGGTGGCAAACTATACTAACCGTGATGCTCGAAGCCTTGGTAGGGCCATGGAAAGAATACTGGAAAGGAGACAGTTCAGGTGGTTACCTGTGAAGTAGTGTCTGGAGTTAGTGGTTACTGAACCAAGGCTCTGGGCTATGGCAAAACCAAACGGCTTTCAAGATGTCAGAAATGGGCCTTGGATTTACAATCACAAAAATTCCTGGGGTTTCTTTCCGAGGAATTAAAAGAATGTTAACATTGTATTTCTTTTTCTTTTCTTTTTTTTTTTTTTTTTTTTGAGACAGAGTCTCACTCTGTCACCAGGTACCAGGCTGGAGTGTAGTGGTGTGATCTCGGCTCACTGCAACCTCTGCCTCCTGGGTTCAAGCAATTCTCCTGCCTCAGCCTCCCGAGTAGCTGGGACTACAGGCGTGCACCACCATGCCCAGCTAATTTTTATATTTTAGTGGAGATGGGGTTTCACTGTATTGGCCAGGATGGTCTTGATCTCTTGACCTCTTGATCCGCCCACCTCGGCCTCCCAGAGTGCTGGGATTACAGGTATGAGCCATTGCACAGGCCAGAGCTTTATTATTTTATTGGATACATTTATTTCTTGAAAATTTCCTCCTATCTAATCTCCTTTATTTTCTTATTGTTTATTTTGATATCACCATTCAATATTTTGCCCCCAGGCAATAATAGTAACACATACCACTAAATTCTTGGGAAGATAGGTTCTTTTACTGTCAATTTCCAAGATAATTAGGAAATTTAAAGGTGATTAAATTTTAGTTTATATGACACTTAAAATCATGAAGGCAGTGTATTTTAATTGCTTTTATGGCATCTAACCATCAACTTTGGCTTTCTTCCTGTCTCCCTGACTTACCCTTTCTTGGTAATAAGTCCTTACTTTATGTAGCCTTGTTTAAAGCACTCTTAGCTTTCAGGGAAGTAAAATATAAATGAAGTAAGAATTGACATTGTTATATTCAAATGCAGGTAGCACTTCTCTCTTACCCAAATTGCATGACAGTTTTCACCAAGATGGCAGCTTGCACATATATATTTAATGACATTTTTCTTATCTGTAAACTTGGACAGTAGTACGATCTATTCAATACTGAGGTATAGTAGCTGTGGCCCTAATTGCAGTTTGAGGCTACAGTTGTTTTTTTCTCAAGTCATTGATCTAAATGAAGTAGATAGAGCCTTCCCCAGATACCTTGGCAGGATCACTGTGATCAGGGGTCTAGTCTGCTCTTTACAAGTCTGAGAGCTTAGTTTTGTCAGTGAACCTAACTATAACCAGGTCCTTTGGCACAAATTCACACTAAACTCACACTAATAAGTTATAAAACCAGAATCCCAAGTTATTAATTTACAAGGGGAGCTCTACTCCTTCAGTGTGTATTCATCTCTACTGTTCATGATACTCTTTTCCTGGGAATATGAAGAAGTTAAGCTGCAAATTATAGGGTTGACTGGTGAGCAAGGAATCAGAGGGAATGAGGTCAGGAGTTGGAGACCAGCCTGGCCAATATGGTGAAACCACATCTCTACCGAAAATATAAAAATTAGCTAGGCATGGTGGCACATGCCTGTAATCCCAGATACTTGGGAGGCTGAGGCAGGAAAATTGCTTGAACCCAGGAGGCAGAGGTTGCAGTGAGCCAAGATCAGGCCACTGCACTCCAGCCTGGGCAATAGGGTAAGACTCCGTCTCAAAAAAAAATTTTTTTTCTTTCTTGGACAAACCAGATAAGCCCTATCAAATTCTAGTTCTTTGACCTCCCTTTTATAGATCACAAGCAGAAATTTCCTTTTCTATAGAAAACATTTTCCTTACATGTGAACTCCATCTCTACTAAAAATATAAAAAACCCAAGTTTCTTACCAGCTCTATCACTTATACTATGTGACTTGGACAAGTCACTGAATTCTCTGGGACTCTGTTTCTTCATCTGTGGAGTATCATACCCACCTCATGGATTGTAATGAAAAAAATGTGTGTAAAGACAAGGACAGGCTGGGCACAGTGACTAATGCCTGTAAGCCCTTATTTGTCAAGAGGTAGTTGTACTATGTGCTAGTCCATTTCATTCGGTTTTTTTCTGTCATGGTCTCTCATGCTTTTTTCCTGATTTTTCTTGCTACTATAGTCTTTATCTTGCTTTTATTCATAGAGTTGACTGCTTTCTATTTGATATGTTCCAACTGCCATTTTCTTCTTTTCATCCTTGACCCAAATTTGATTTCTAATTACGCAAGATAAACAAGAACGCCAAACTCACTGCTCTTTGACTGCTTAAAACATGGAAATAATTTGAGTTTGAGAGAATATTTTTTTCTTCCAGTTATAAAAGAAAACTTTGAAAAAAAAACAGAAAAGAGAAAATAATCATGCCTTAGTCTACCATCTCAAGAAATCACCCTTGCTGTGTACCTCTATCTTTCCCCATGCATGTGTGTTTATATGTTTTGAGCTTGGATAACGCTGTGATGATTACCATACATCTTCAGTAGACTTGGACCATGGCCTCAGCTTGGTTAGAAATGCATTGTGTGGGGGAGGTGTGGTGGCTCATGCCTGTAATCCCAATACTTTGGGAGGCCAAAGCAGGCATACTGTTTGAGCTCAGGAGTTTGAGACCAGCCTGGGCAATATGGGGAAACTGGTCTCTACAAAAAATACTAAAATTAGCTGGGCATGGTAGCACAAACCTGTAGTCCCAGCTGTTCATGTTCAGGAGGTTGAAGTGGAAGGATTGGGTACACCTTGGAGGTCAAGGCTGCAGTGAGCTCCAATGGTGCCACTGCACTCCAGCCTGGGCAACAGAGTGAGAGTCTGTCTTAAAAAAAAAAAAAAAAAAAAAAAAAGAGAGAAAAAGAAAAAAAATGCATTGTAAAATTTTAAGTAGATCTTTATAGGTGTTAGGTGTTCAAAAGTATTTGTTAAATGGTTGAATCATTACCCTTCTCTGTGCCTCAGTTTTCCCATTTCTTAAGTGAGGAAAAAATAATTTACAAGACGTTTTATGAGGATCAGTGAAAAACAAACTGTAAATGTTGGAAGTGGCTAGGTCTTGTCAAAACTTTCCTGGTTGTCTGTCATATCACTTTTTTCCCAGAGGCTACTACTTGAGAAGAGGCAAAGGAAAAAGCGCCTGGAGCCATTTATGATTGAACCCAATCCAGATTGGCAACCCAATCTGTATACCAGGCTATGTCCAGCAAAGCCAAGGGCCAAACAGGAGCAGATTGCGTTGGTGAAACATCTCGACAGCAATGTCATCTCGCATGGTGTGTATTTAGGCAGCATTACTTCCTGCTGGGGTACAATTTTCACAAACCTAGAAGGTGGGAGAATTCTCAGATGGACCAAAGGGATAATATTGGTACCATTACTGGGTAACTTCTTAAATCTTTAATCACATTTGGGGTCTTTTAAGAGAATAAAATAAATGATGTAATCAGTGGAAGATGCCTTAACATTTGTGTCCATTTTACAACTGTTTTCTTTTTTCTTTTTTTTGAGATGGAGTTTTGCTTTTGTCACCTGCTGGAGTGCAGTGGCACGATCTTGGCCCACTGCAGACTCCTTCTCCCAGTATCAAACGATTCTCCTGCCTCAACCTCCTGAGTAGCTGGGATTACAGGTGCCTGCCACCACACCTGGCTAATGTTTTTATATTTTTAGTGGAGACGGGGTTTCATCATGTTGGCCAGGCTGATCTCGAACTCCTGACCTCAGGTGATCTACCCATCTTCGCCTTCCAAAGTGCTGGGATTACAAGTGTGAGACACTTTGCCCAGCCAGAAATGTTGTTTTCTAGATGCCAGATGAATGAGTTTAGAATGACCTGTTTGAGGAACTTTTGATTGTTAAATCATGGCAGAGGTGAATCATGAAACCAGGAATAGGTAGAGAGCATTCATTCTTCCATAGATGGTTCAAAAGACCATCTGAGATGGTGAAGAGGCAGAGGAAGAATAAGATTATAAGAGCTTTTAAATAAAGCCACCTGAGCTATTGCCTTGGACAGGATCTGTACTATGGAGTACTGCTTTGTTTTCTTGGTCTTATTCTTAAGTTTCTGAAGTATACCTCAGGTACATATTACCATAGTAACAGAGCATGGTAATGGAATGGACACCAGGCTAGGTGTGGTGGCTTATGCGTATGATCTCAGCACTTTGGGAGGCCAAGGCAGGCAGATCACTTGAGGCCAGGTGTTTGAGACTAGGCTGGGAAACATAACAAGACTCCGTTTCTACAGAAAATTTAAAAATTAGCCAGGTGTATTAGCACACACCTGTAGTCCCAGCTACTCAGGGTCTGAAGTGGGAGGATTGCTTGAGCCCAGGAAGTCGAGGCTACAGTGAGCTGTGATTACACCTCTGCTCTCCAGCCTGGGTGACAGAGTGAGATCCTGTCTCAGAAAAAAAGAACACCAGTTCTGACCTACTCTCTTAAGAAATGTTCTTATGGATGTTAAGAAAGGAGGGGAGATAAAATGATTTAGCAGTTCTCAATTCTGATCACATATGCCAAATCTACCCAACTAAATAGTGAGTAATACTTTGCTCCTTTTATAAAATTTATTTTATTTTGACCCCTAGGTATTGATGGTCCAGCTGCTGTCCTGAAACCAGATGGAGCTTTTAATCCATCAGTAAGCTCCCCTGTTTTGGAAGAGGAAACAGAAAACACCATGACTTCCAAGCCAGGACTTAAGGAGAGTCTCCAAAAGCATGGTGAGGACTGGTAATGATTTTAAGGCAATTTTTCTTTTTACTCATTTGTAATCTTTTCTTTCACTGTAGTTAACAATGTACATGACTCAAAATTTCTCACGGTTTAGGGCCTCACAGAGGTGACAGTATTAAGCATCTTTTACATCTGAATATTGGTCATTTTCAGCAATGGTAGTATTTATACTATTGCCTGAGAAAAATAAGGCAATTAAATATAAAATATTAGCTACCAAAGATGACTGTTTCTTTTTAACTATTTTCAGTTCCCTCCCTCTTCTGACAGAGTTCTCATTCAACCCCTTCTGCCCTGCGTCCATTTCATAGCTGGTGATGATTGACAGCCTTTCTGCTAGTTGGAGCTCTCATTTCCATAAATATTCCCATACATTTCAAAGATCCCTTGTAGTCTTCTTTCCTTTTTAGAAAAATAATTTTATAATGAGAAGGGGTCACTCATCCCCTTTTCAGATGAGAAAACTGAAGCCCAGTAATTAATAAATACCCATTGGGTACCTACTTTGCATTATGCAAACATTGCTAGGTCGTGAGATACATAAATCAGGAGAGCTTACCATGGAATGGTAGAATAGATGAACATTTAAACAAATTTGTATATTCACTTATTTAGAAATTATGTTTTGGCCGGGTGTAGTGGCTCATACCTGTAATCCCAACACTTTTAGAGGCCGAGGTGAGTGGATCACCCTGAAGGTCAGGAGTTCAAGACCAACCTGGCCAACATGATGAAACCCCATCTCTCCTAAAAATAGAAAAAGATTAGTCAGTTGTGGTGGGGGGTACCTGTAATCCCAGCTACTTGGGAGGCTGAGGCAGGAGAATCACTTGAACCCAGGAGGTGGAGGCGGCAGTGAGCCAAGATTGCACCATTGCACTCCAGCCTGGGCAACAAGAGTGAAACTTCTCAAAATAAATAAATAAAAAACCATAAAACAAAACAAAACAAAACAAAAAATGTATGTTTTGAGGCCAGGCATGATAACTTATTCCTGTAATTCTAACACTTTGGGAGGCTGAGGCAGGCAGATCACTTGAGTCCAGGGGCTCAAGAACAGCCTGGGAAACATGGAGAAACAACTCTACAAAAAAATGCAGGAAGAAAAAAAAAATGGCCAGGTGCAGTGGCACACACCTGTAGTTGCAGCTGCTTGAGGGGCTGAGGCAGAAAGATTGAGCCTGGGAAGCAGAGGTTGCACTAAGCTTGAGTTGACACCAGTGTACTCCAGCCTGGGTGACAGATCCTGTATCAACCAAAAAAAAGTAAAGAAAGAAAATATGTTTTGAGTACATACCATATCTCAGGCATTATTCTAGGTACTTAGGATACAAGAGTGAACGTGGTTCCTGCCCTCATGAAGCTTTATGCACTTAAATAGGCTAGAGCTAGAAAATCAAGATGCTGAGAGAGCCTGAAAACCTCACTTGGAGGTTTGGGAACCTTTCCAGAGAAAGTGATATCTGAGCTAGTGCCTGACATGGGTAGAGGTGCTGACCAGTTCAGAATGGCAGCAGCTCAGGGTATGTGGTCATAGGGAAGGAAGGGGGATGTAGAGAGATGAGCCAGGAGAGGGAAGTGGGCTCTAATTATATGGGACCTGATAGACCACATAAGGAATTGGGACTTTAAGGAATAATAGAAGGCTGGGCACAGTGGCTCACACCTGTAATCCCAGCACTTTAAGACGCCAAGTTGGGAGGCTTGCTTGAAGTTAGGTGTTGACCAGCCAGGGCAACATAGCAAATCTCTACCAAAAAGAAATTTTGTAATTAACTGGGCATGGTAGTACACGCTGGTAGCCCCAGCTACTTTAGAGGTTGTGGTGGGTGGATTGCTCGAGCCCAGGCTATTGAGGATGCAGTGAGCTATGACCATGCCACATCACTCCCACCTGGGTGACAGAATTAAACCATGTCTCTAAAAATTAAAAAAAAAAATTTGGGTTGGGCAGAGTGGCTCATGCCTGTAACGCCAGCACTTTGGGAGGCTGAGGTGGGAGGAGTCCTTGAGCCTGGGAGTTTGAGGCTGCAGTGGGCCAGGATTGTGCTGCTGCACTCTAGGCTGTGTGTAGAGTAAGACCCTTTTTAAAATAAATAAATAAAAATTAATAAAAAAAAATAAAGAGTAATGAGCTGTGAGGGACTTTTTGTTTTTTGAGATGGAGTCCCACACTGTCACCTGGGCTGGAGTATAGTGGCACAAACTCAGCTCATTGCAACCTCTGCCTCCCGGGTTCAAGTAGTTCTCCTGCCTCAGCCTCGAGAGTAGCTGGGATTACAGGCACATGCCACCACCTCTGACTAATTTTTGTGTTTTTATTAGAGGCGGGTTTTCACCATGTTGGCCAAGCTGCTCTTCAACTCCTGACCTTAGGTGATCCACCTGCCTTAGCCTCCCAAGGTGCTGGGATTACAGGCATGAGCCACTGCGTCCAGCCGTTCCTCTGGTTCTTTTAATGACCTGAAAATGACATTTTGCAAATATAGAAATAGGTGTACATATCCATATGATAGTGATATCTCAAGAGTTTTCTGCCTTTTTGCTAGCAAATAAAAGCAGGGGTGCCAGGCGTGGTGGCTCATGTCTGTAATTCCAGCACTTTGGGAAGTCGAGGTGGGTGGATCGCTTGAACTCACGAGTTTGAGATCAGTCTGGGCAACTTGGTGAAACCCTGTCTCCACAAAAAATTAGCTGGACATGGTGTAGTCCCAGCTACTTAGGAGGCTGAGGTGTGAAGATTGCTTGAGCCTGGGAAGTTGAGGCTACAGTAAGCAGCTGTGATTCAGCCACTGCACTCCAACCTGGGCAACAGAGTGAAACCCTGTCTCAAATAAGAAGCAGCAGCTAAACATTCAGAGAGCAGAAGGAAAAATGTCCTTCACAAACCAGATAATTTTTAAAATAACAGCTCTTTTGAGATAAATTACAGACCATAAAACTCATCCATTTAAAGTGAACAATATGTTGGGTGCTCATACCTGTAATCCTAGCACTTTGGGAGGCAAAGGTGAGCGGATCACCTGAGGTCGGGAGTTTGAGACCAGCCTGGGCAACATGCTGAGACCCTGCCTCCACTAAAAATATGAAAAAATAAGCTGGGTGTGGTGGCGAGTGCCTATAATCCCAGCTATTCAGGAAGCTGAGGCAGCAGAATCGCTTGAACCCCAGGGGCAGAGGTTGCAGTGAGCAGAGATTGCACCAGTGCACTCCAGCCTGGGCTACAAGGGCAAGATTCTGTCTCAAAATAAATAAATAAATAAAGTGAACAATAAATTGGTTTTTAGTACAGAGTTCCACAACCATTTTCACAATCAATTTTACAAAATTTTCATCACCCCAAAAGAAACCTCATAACCATTAACAATAGCCATTAATGGGAAGTGACACTTTCCATTTCCCTCCAATCTCCTCAGCCCTAGGAAGCCATCAGTCTACTTTCTGTCTCTGTAGATTTGTCTGTTCTGGACATTTCATAGTAATAGAATCATACAATATTTGTTTTTTTCTGTGTCTTGGATTTTACTCAGTGTGTTTTCAAGATTCCTTCATGTTATAACCAGTGTCAGTACTTCATTCCTTTTTACTGTTGGATAACACTTCATTGTATGGATAAACCACATTTTGTTGATCAGCTGATGGACATTTGATTATTTCCACTTTCCCAACTGTTAGGAATAATGTTGCTGTGAACACTGATTTTTTTTTTTTTTTTTTGAAATGGAGTTTTGCTCTTGTTGGCCAGGCTGGAGTGCAGTGGTGCAATCTCGGCTCATCACAACCTCTGTCTCCTGGGTTCAAGTGATTCTCCTGCCTCAGCCTTCCAAGTAGCTGGGATTACAGGCATGTGCCACCATGCCCAGCTAATTTTGTATTTTTGGTAGAGACAGGGTTTCTCCATGTTGGTCAGGCTGGTCTTGAATTCCTGACCTCAGGTGATCCACCCACCTGGGCGTTCCAAAGAGCTGGGATTACAGGTGTGAGCCACTGCACCTGGCTACAGCTGGGATCTTATAGGTGTGCACCACCACGCTTGTTTGATTTTTGTATTTTTAGTAGAGACGGGGTTTCACCATGTTAGCCAGGATGGTCTTGATCTCTTGACCTCATGATCTGCCCACCTTGGCCTCCCAAAGTTCTGGAATTACAGGCGTGAGCCACCGTGCCTGGCTGACACATTCTATTTTTTAAAGAGACTTTACATTTAAACGAAATATAGAGAACAGGCAAATCCACAGAGACAGAGTATCGTCTGGTGGTTGCCAGTGGTTGGGAGGAGGGGGTATGTGGAGAAATTGTTTAATGAATACAGGGTTTCCTTTTGAAGTGATGAAAACTGGGAACTAGATAAAGGTGATTATATAACATTGTGAATGTACTGAATGACACTGAATTATTCACTTTAAAATGGTTAATTTGATGTTGCCTTAAATTTTACCTAGATAAAATAGTTATAAATAGAAAAAGCAATGATTGTTTACAAAGATATCAGTGTCAAAAAAAAAGACTGAAGAACCATTCCAGAGTAAAGGAGACTGAAGAAACATGAAAACTGCATGCCGTATATGATGTCAGTCTAGAGGGGAAAAACTGCTACAAAGGGCATCATTGGTTAATTGACAAAACTAGAATATAACAGATTTTTAAAGGTATCCTATCAATGTCAAACTGACTGAAGCTGGTATCTTTAATGTGGTTAATGGAAGAGAATATCCTTATTCTTAGGCCAAACACTCTGAAGGGGTACAAAGCCACATTGCATTCAACTTATTCCCACATGGTTAAAAAATTCTATGTGTGTGTATACACATGTATGAATGGTGTGTGTGCCTGTGTGTAAGTGTGAGAACACAAATAGTAAAGCTAGTGGGGTTAAAACATTAACAGGTCAATCAAAATAAAGGCTATGTAGACTTTATCCACCGTTTGGGCACTTTCAGATTCACAATTTCCAAATAAAGTTTTAAGAAAGCACCCACTATCCCCAAATGTCCCATATTACCTAAAATCACCCTGAAACTCTCATATAATAGGTTTTTAAAAATGCAACTTTCTTTTTACATGTTCAGTCAGCAGTACTCACATTAATAAGTTTCAGATCACACTGACCACGTTCATAAGCAACGCAGGCCAGATATGGATCTCTTTTCTCACAATACTTTCCAACAACGTGACTGTCATAGTAGGGATTTTCACGAAGAAATCTCTCTGGGTTGTTATTACTGTCTATGTAGCTTTTGGCTGAGGCACTGTGAGTAGCAGGCTCTTCAGAGCCCTTATGTATTCTGGCCTCTCGCCAAGGAAGTAGTAGTTTCAATCTAGGAAAAAGGGAAAAAACCTTCCACACACATACTATATTATGCACTCTTGACATGCAAACTATATAAATATATTATGGTCCATAATGTGCTTTCACATACTTTTTTTTCTTCCCCCTGAGTATCACTACATTGCCTAGGCTGAAGTGCAGTGGCTGTTCACAGTCACAATCATCATGCACTACAGCCTTGGGCTCAAGTGATCTTAGTATCGCAGCCTCCTGAGTAGCTGGCACTACAGGTGCACGACACTATGCCTGGCTTCACATTAATTTTAATACTCAATGATCCTATTACGAATTGGGAAATTAAGACTCAAAAGATGATTGAGTTGCCCGAGAATAAAAAGAAGGCATATAAAGCTATTTTCACTCTCCCAGATTTATCTGCTATATGATATACCTACCTGCTTATATCTGAATAAAAGTTTAGAGATTCACACAGTGTCCTTTCTTTCTAACACACAAAATATCTAGACTTTAGAACATTTTGTTTATGGATAGGATGGGGATATGATATTACATAGGCCAGATTAACTGAGAGTTCTTTCAGCTCTTAACACAATTAACATACAACATTACCTAAGGCAAGCCCTAAATACATACTGGCAATAAAACCTGGTAGCTTTAGAAGCTCTGGATTTAATAGTTGTATCTGTCATATATACACTCCATCAAGGAGCAGTTTTGCTATACTATAGCTTGTTTTGATAGTCCTGATGACCATGCCTCCTCTTATTTTGAATTTTATTTTTATTTTAAAGACAGGATCCAAGCTGGAGTGCAGTGGTAGGAACATGGCTCACTGCAGCCCTGACCTCCTGGGCTCAAGAGATCCTCTCACCTCAGCCTCCCCAAAAGTTGGGACTACGGTCACATGCCACTATGCCTGGCCCAAGCGTCTTTTACCAATGATTTAAACATTAACAGCAGCCAGAGAAAAAGCATTATTCTGTTATTTTGGCTATCAAATTCATATAGTTATTATGAACACTCCCCTTGGGGAGAAGATACTTAATTTTAATAAACAGAGGCAAAAATCCAGCTCCTCTAAACATGTGCAATCCAATATGTGCCATGTCAACTTAAAGAATAAAAATTAGCTAAGGCATGTGTAGACTAGTGACTTATATATGAATCTAGCTTTTCACCATATAATTTGTCACTTAAAGACTAAATTATCTAACCATAACTGCCATTTGTTTGGATATGCAATAAGATTATTTTCAGGTAATAGATTTAAGACTCAACTGAACCTCTTTTTAAATGTTAAATTGTTATGACATAAAATCACTTGAAACTAGGCTCAAACCTTTAAGTCAGTATTAACTGTATATCTCTATTACCCTTAAATGCAAAATTTTTCCATGTTTGAAACATTCTATTTTGAAGCATTGATTGTGGAAAAAAAAGAAAAACATTCTAATAGAAATTGTAAGAATATAATTAGTAGGTCATCTATACCAACTGAGGTTGAAATTAAATCCCACAGCCTTTCTTAATTTCTTCTCATATAAACAGCGGAACTTTCCACTAGCATACCACCTCACCAACCTCATTTATGATGTCAGTACTTCCTAAACACTAGTTCCTCAAAATGTTTCAGCTAAACAAAGACTTCACAGTCTGTGAGTCTTACAAGCACTTATACTATATTCTATTGGAAATCCATATTGTCATATTAAGGTACTATAAATTAAACGTCAGTTTAACTCAAGAGTTGCACAGGGAACCTTTGCCTCATTCTTGAACAAACACCGCACTATTTTTTTTAAATCAGCTTTCTCAGGTTGAAAACACCACACTATTTAATTAGTAAAGAATTAGTTGTTAAATATATTGTTACCACACCTAACAAAGCAGGAGACATACTACGTAGTTTATATTAAAAGCATATGAAGTCAAACCACATAGCTGTTATTATAAACATGCCAAAAAATAATCAGGTTAACAGATTTCCTATGACAGCTATAATGTTTCTGACTTTTTTTTCTGGTGCTATCAGCTAGTTTACCACCTCTACATTTGGTGTCTTCAGGAAATTATTCTCCATGTTATTGAGTAGCTTTGGAACAAATGACTACCTATATTTTTATCTATTACCATGCTAAGAGAGACTAACTTATCCCTGTTAAATTGGTACTATGCCCGTTTCTTTTTTCAGCCTCAGCAACAAGTTCATCAGTGGAGAGCTGACCTCTTAAAACCAGAATTAAGTTTTTATGACATCTTCAGAACAGTCAACATCAAGTAATCCTCCAGTAACCATAGGAAGAACACTTGGATTCACCTGTGGCTAGAAAAAAAAAAGCAGAAGAATGCCATTATGTTAATAAGAAAAGCAAAGAAGAATTTTAAAAAAATTATCTCTAATTTATCTCTTTTAAGCTCAGTTTTTTTCTTTAAGTTCAGTTTTTAAATTCAGTAATGAACTGAGGGTTTAAATTTGCAACTAGATAGAGGAATTAAGCAGAAGGTCCAGCTAAAAACAAGGCTTCATGGTTTAATAAGTATCAAAAGCACATATACTATATTCTCTCTCTACTGGATTGGTTAATTAGTTACCCAAGCATTGTTCCATATGATAAATAAATTCAAAGAAATTAGTCAAAGATGACTATGCAAGACCGCCTAATAAAAAAGCTCCCATTATAGCAATACTGCCTGTTTTTACAGTTAAGAAGGTGAAGTATTTTATATATGTATTTAAGATGGTTTGAAAACTCTGCTTTGCAGTCTAGGGCTTCTATACAGATACCTCAGGGCCTATCAAGTTAGTAGGACCCTAGGCCACCCAACTTTTTCAACAGTACCACTTCTCCTCTATTTTACACACTTCGCATGCATTTTTTTCCCCTTTCCCTGAATTAGCTTCCTAGGAAAGCATGTAGAATTTTAATCCAAGAACGGAGTCTGCTTGGGAAAAATTATTAAAAGCAGCTGGGCATGGTAGTATTCATCTGCAGTCCCAGATACTTTGGAGGCTAAGGCAAGAGAATTACTTGAGCCCAGGAGTTTAAGGTTAGAATAGGCTGATTGTGCCACTGTATTCCAGGGTGGGTCACAGAGCAAAACCCTGTCTCAAAACAAACAAAACTCATGTTAAAAGCTGCAGACCACTCTTATTGAGCACTGTTTCAAAACGACTTCCAGAATATGAGAAATAAAATCTATAGTAAGATTATACCTTTAAATTACCTACATATTACTTACCTTATGTACATATATCTCTATATGCTTTTGAAGATTATTTCTATATAAATAGAGCACCAAATCAAGGACAAAGTCAAATCTATCACACACAAGGATAAGTGGTAGCTGATGTGTTAGCTTTACTCCTGAAAAAAGGCAAACAAAAGGAAGCTTTAATTTTCTCTTTCTCTGAGGTATCAAATCTATGTTAAATATGAGCATCTGTTCTACACTGACAAGAGAGGCTCACACAAACATGGCTCTTCTGGTAAAGAAAGAAATGTTCCAATAGTTGAGTTTGTACATCCCAGCTTCAGTGAAATTTTACTAAGCAATACTTAGATTCACACAGCAAGATTCCAGGTCTTTCCAGTCTTTCCCATACACCCCCTTTACCAAAAAACAAGAGTAACAAATTAAGATACTTGAGCCAGCAGCGGCTCTCAGATGTTAAATTTACCACACTGGGACTTTCATCAGTATTAACACTTCAACTGTATTGGAAATCAATTTAATAACTATAGACAGATTGTCAAAATATATGGCATAAGTTGCTCACATTTGTTTCAAACTAATGATATTCTATCCCTCCCCAAATCCAATCTATACAATCGGCCTCTAATACTCTATTATAAACAAAGCCTACAAGGAGCAGCATAATAGTGACCACATGTGGCCATATGAATAATGCAAAAAAAAAAAAAACCCAGCATTTAAAGAAAAGACATCTTTAAATTGCCAACCGCTTTTGCCATTACAGATACCAAACTACAATCCTACTTATAGATTGACACAGAAGACGTTATAGACAAGGTAAGTAAAGCTGTACTTGGCATTTACCTGATACATACCCTGTTACATTCCACAGACATAAGGTACAGCACAAAAAACAATTTCCATCCATCAGGAATTCATTTATACACAGTGAAACATTCCTCAATAAATGATTCCTCTAACAGTCTGCTAGGGACGTAGAATTAGCCAGGTAGAACTCACTAAGAACATTATTTTCAAGGTTAGAATAAAATGGCTCCTGAGACTAGAGGATATTAGTTGTTCAATTATAAATAACACAAAGACTATGAAGTATTCCAAAGAACACCAAGGTAAATCTTTAATTTAGCAGTCTTAAATTAGAAAATAATGCCTGTAAAACTGCAGATTTTCCACAATAAGAAAGGTCTAAAGCAAGTATTATTTAACAACATGGAAACTCTGCAGTAATAGCTGCTTCTAGAATTTCTGGAATCTGTCTGTATCTATGTAAACATTTTAGTATGTCATGTTTTTCCTACTAAATGAACATCAAAAAAGTATGGATCAACACACTAGTCATCTTACCTACACACATATAAAATATTGTGTACTTTATCACTTACATAAACCACTGTGCCCTTATATGGAAAATTTTAAATGAAGACCCCAATACCTGGTGTTTTTCAATATATAGTTGATGGGAAACGAACAAAAAAATTTGGGAACAGTTTAGTGTAGTATTGTTTAGAAGAATTTTCTGCAATGATGAAAATCTTATCTTTGCCCTCCAATGTAAAGCCACTAACCACATGTGGCTATTAAGCACTTGAAATGTGGCTAGATTGACAGAGTAACTACATATTAAGCTTTATATTTTAATAACTTTCAATGGCAATAGCTACTACATGTGGCTAGTGTCTACTGTACTAAACAGTGTAAATTTAGTGCATAGTTAACATTTTTGAAACTGGGAAAATTTAAAAAACTAGTAGAATCTCTTACCCCTTCTCAATAGAGCACTACTACTAAAAAGAGGAGAGAAAGGTAATTAGGGAACTGAACTTAGTCACCCAACAGTGATTAAGTTAGTATCCTATATAGCAGTGGTTCTCAGCTGAGGTGATTTTCCTCACAGGTGACATTTGACAATGTCTGAAGACATTTTTGGTTGTCACAACTGGAGCTGATGGCCATCTAGTGGGCAGAAACCAGGAATGCTGCTAAATATTCTACTAAATATTCTACATGTATCGGAATACCTCCCTAATATGATTGTTTCGCTGTAAATGTCTATTTAGTTCTAAGGTTGAGAAATCCTGCCAAACAGTGACAAACCACAAAATGCCCTTGGCTAGAATCACCAGCCATTATGAGAGTCAGACATATAAGCATAAAATGTTATTATACCTGATTATTAGTACATATTGAGTATCCCTTATCCAAATGCTTGGGACCAGACATGTTGCAGATTTTGAACTTTAGAATATTCACATTATGTTTACCTGATCAACATCCCTAATCTGAAAATCCAATTCTGAAATGCTCCAATGAGCATTTCCTTTGAACTCAAAAGGTTTTGAACTTTTACACATTTTGGATTTTCAGATTAGGAACACTCAACCTGTATTTTCATTTTATACCATTTAAACATCACTACATATTTTTCTCTTAAAATTCTACCTTTAATTCATCTATAAAATATCCAAAAAATGGTATTGTTCACTGCATATCCTTAGGATTAAATATAAAAGGGCCTTGACAACATTTTTTTTAATTTTTTTATTTGTTTTGAGATGGAGTATAATTCTGTCTCTAAGCTGGAAATGCAGTGGTGCAATCTCGGCTCACTGCAACCTCTGACTCCCAGGTTCAAGCAATTCTCCTGCCTCAGCCTTCAAAGTAGCTGGGATTAAGGCACACACCACCATGCCCATCTAAATTTTGTATTTTTAGTAGAGATGGGATTTCACCATATTGGCCAGGATGGTTTTGATCTCCTGACCTTGTGATCTGCCCACCTCAGCCTCCCAAAGTGCTGGGATTACAGGTGTGATCCACCATGCCTGGCCAACAACATTTATTGAATAATAAATCTTAAAAAATTAAAATGTCCCATAGAACCACATTTGTAGAAAGAAAAAATTTCCAATAGCCTGATCATAAGCATACCTCTTCTTGGCTATCTTAAGTACTTTTTACAAACTCAAATACTCCTAATTACCTTCAAAACTCTTGAAAATTCAAAAAGTTCAATCAGAGACTGACAATTGTTCATGATATTTAGAAGCCACCTGAACACAGATCTTCAGATTCTGCTGAATATTGGCAGACAGCATGGCTCTGAGACATTCTAGGGAGTCTTCTACTGATAAGGACCCAAAGTAATTCACTAACCACTGCAAGAAAAAATAAATGAATGAATGAATAAATGAAACAATGCTGAAACTTATGGAGGTATGAAATTATCAGTATTTAGTACCACAAACACATTTTCAGTGTACCTATTAATCACAACTAACACCATCTATTAGGTAAGAAACTAAAATACCTCAGGGTTAAGAAGATGGGTGTGAACTGCTGCACGTTTTATATCATATAAATCAGTGAAGGGTTCTAACACACGATGCAGCAGGCCAGCCTTTTCACACAGCTGAGCACTATGAGCCCAGTCATAATGCATGAACATCTGATTGCCTAGAATAGCATCTGCAACCTGTAAAACCACAAACAAGGTAAGTTTATTGTTCATCCCATTTATATGAGTAATTCAATATCCATATTACATATTAAGGTTTAATAGTGAACTGGTGAAAGTACAAAAGAATATATAATAGCTAAATATTCTTATATAAGGAGTAGGCATCTCAGAAGCTTTGAATAACAATCGGAGATGCTCTGCACAATTATTAAAGCAATGTTGGAAACATGCCTAAAAAGCATTAGAACACATACTTGAGGCGCATGCATAAGGTTCATCTCAAGTAACCGCATCTGTAAGGGCCCTTCAGAAGGGCATTTTTCTTCAGCACATCAAGCAAGAATGCGGCACATTGCTGAATTAGATTGTATTCCATAAAGACATCTACAATCTACAAAAAAAAGAGATAAAAGAAATTGTTTTAAGATACTATGGACAGTATGCAGACAAAATTATGCACAAACTTTCTTTACCAGAGAATTTTAATTGGACAATATAAACACTTTAAGAACAAATTTTGCCTTCTAGAGAACATAGTTACTTTGAGTTCTGATAAAAACAACTACAAAATATTTCAAGATATTACATAATAGCAGAATAAAATCAAATGGATAGACCTTTATTTTTATGGACTTTTGGAAAACAATAGCATAAACAATATGAAGAACTCTGACTCACACTTCCAAGATGCATCTCTTCCCTACCCCCACACCCAGGAAGCAACCACTATCCTGTTTTATCACCTCCATGTATTTTTCACATTTTTAATACATATACATCTCTAAATAAGTTGTTTTGCCTGTTTTAAAACTGTACACAGATGGTTTCAGACTGTCCATTCTTTTGTAACTTGCTTTATTTCCAAACATTTGAAGTTTATCCATATAGAATGACAAAGCTGTAATTTTTACTAAGTGTAAGTTTTTTTTTCTTTTGGAGATAGAGTCTCACTCTGTTGCCCAGGTTGGGGTGAAATGGCACGACCACAGCTCACTGCAGCCTCAACCT